ACGAGCTTTATTTGCTCTATTAATAAAACTTCCTGTTTGAACTCAAACTATAGCTCGAGTTTGTCGTAGTCCCGGTATTTACTTGCTGATATTTCCATACTAAATGAACAACACAAAATGTTTCAGAACACAGAACATCGGCATTAAGATCCACCTGTAATGTTAGTGAACTAACAAAATATCCCAATTAGGTTATTTTAACTGTATATTATGCAAGTAACAAAATAAGAAAATTATCTATAAAACAGGAAACAATATCCTAGTACTAATGATTTTAGGTGAATTAAATGCAAACGTTTTGACGTAGCTAGTTGCAAGTAGTAACCAAATAGGCAGATATTGCATAAGTCTTATTTCCTCAGCAAAAAAACTTAACATTGAGATCAATGCTTCAACACAATAAAATCTTTCTAATACGAGTCGCATTCAATAAATTTGCAGAGCCGGAAGTTTACCAGGTACTAAGCCGAAATAATGGTGTCTGATTTCAATGGCGATATGTTGTGGTGCACAATATGATATTATACAAATGGATGTGGATCTTGGACAAAAACTAGCAAGCAAAATATAGGTAACTTCACGGTGAAGATTGATATATCCGGTACGTCTTTCTTAAGAAAAAGCAAGCTAAGTTTGGCGGCAATACAATGTTTGTGGGTGTCATTTGATAGGAAGTGGGCCTGAATTGGAACCTGGGAATTATAGTAAAATTTCCTGTTTGGGAAAACTAAATTCTTTATACAATTTCTATTTGAATTAGATACAGTTGACCTCGCTCGTATAGTATTAATTTAATGTTAAATTGTTCGATTCAGAAAGGCCGATTGAGTCGATGGCTTTTTTATTGAAATTATTTTTTTTCATTACAACACACATTACACATCATTACAATAAAAAAACTGTTATTATTTCAACTTTCTTTTCGCTTTTTGAGTTATATCAACGATCTGCTAGCAAACATTAAAAAATCGCTCTACATCAATAATATCTCAAATTTTGTTTCAACTGTTTTTTTGTGCTCGCACTTCCATTCCATTTAAAAACGTATGCTACTTAGGATTCAGCTAAAAAGCGACTTGAAAATCTATTGAAATACCTGGGATTACATGGAGCGAACGATATAACAAGAGTTCAAATATTTTTAAGTCAAAAACTATTAATTAATTTCAGGTGAAGCGTAAACAAATAAAATTTGTAAATAAAACTGCAGACAAAAAAGTATACCTAGAACTGGTGTCTTGTGACAATAAATTTAATTTATGTTAGTTATGAGTGAGCCATTGATTTGCTTCTAATTGATAGAGATAGAGGAAAGTATTGAAATATAAGGTCGAATTAGGTAAAGTCAGCATAATAAATAATATCTATTTTAAATTGTCATTTTGTACCAATATACAGGGTGATTCAAAATTGGCGTCATTCCTTTTAAGGGGTGATGGAAGCTCACTAGGGGAGTACGAGAAAAATATTGAAAATTTTTTTTACAAAAATTTCTATAAGATATTAACAGTTGAAGATCGAATTTCAACTTTGCTATTAAGCATTATTTTGAAATTGTTCCATGTTTAATTGGTAGCATATTGGAATACTTAAGCATTCAAAAAGAAAAATTACGAAGTTTGTTCTACAATTTTTTGATGAAAAGACACGGCGGCAATGTAGTTTTTTGCCAATAAGATATAGTTACAGGTGGATAGCCCTTGTCAATAATAACAATAATCTGTCAAACTGTGACTTACT